ATCATCATCATCATCATCATCATCATCATCATCATCATCATCATCATAGGTCCGACGGACTTGTGACCCTGAGGCATCACTGATGTGACGCAGCTGGACGAAAAAGAGTTGCTGAAGGGATTTTGCGAGGAGATGGAGGTGGATGATGCAAAATGTCTCGAGGGTGTGTTTGCTTTTTAATCATCGAGTATCTGTAGTTGTTTGGAGGTGGTGTTTTGGAACCAGTTCGAGATTTGCATTTCACTTTTGTTTTTATCATAGAATCAGAATGTTGCAAGTATTCTTGCTGAAAGCTTATTTTAAAGATCTTGAAGGCTGGAACATGGCTGAACCGAACCATTTATGGAAGATGACGCGCCCCAGGTTCTTCACATGCTCTCCGCTCCTCTAGGTATTTTGCCTGGCGCCCACTCCTTGCTCGAGAATTTGTGACCCTTCTTAAATCAACAATTGCTGAAAAGACAACATTCCATGGGTGCAGGCACAGCTGCTATGCACATGCCTTTGAGATTGCAGCTGCAGTTGGGCCATTTGCATGGGCTGATGGCGCAAGAACATGTTTTTCTAAGCTCTTCATTGGCACAGGACTTTGCTTGATTTTACGATGCTAAATGAACTATTATGAACTACTGTTATTTTTTTGGTGAATATATATATATATATAGAGATATACATATATATACATATGTTTGTATTTTTTGCTCGCGGCCGTTTGGGTGATGCTGCAGCGTTTTAACGTCTTTTAGTTGTGTGCTATGGCTTGCCCTCAATTCAAGGCTCGGGCCTAGTTGATTTGGTGGCAGAAGAGATTGGCATTCTCGCGTATATATACGTGCTAATCGTTCATTCCGCACCACGCGTTTTTGCAGGAGCAACCTCATTCGTAGGTGGTCAGACTTGTGCACCTCTTAAGTGGAACAATGCCGCCCCCACACTCCACACCCGCTGTCCAGGTCGTGGTGCTCGGGGATTTCATGGCCGGAAAAACGTCGCTGGTGCGGGGGCGCTGGGCGGGAGAGAAGGGGGGGGGACCTTAAGGGATGAATGGAAGAGGTCGCGGTCTGTCCTATTACATCCTATTACTTGTACAAGTCGGTCAACATGTATCACGTTTTTAGAGAAACAGCCTTTAATAATGATCATCATCTACTGTGACTGTGACTGATAATGGGATAGGCCTAAGGTAAATGCATGAAAAAAAGTGGATGAACGTGGGGATGAGGTGGTCATCGGCCAGAAAGAACTTCAACAAATCATTAGAGGCAACATGAGGAAACTCTGGCTGCCCATGGGGGCACTGTCACCATGTTCGGATTGACACGAAGTCTTCATGGTTTCAACATGTTTCAACATCTTTCAACCATACTTGGCGTGGTGCTGACTTGGCCTTCTGACAAAGGCAGGTGGGAAAGACGATGGTACGACTTTTTGCTCAGCAAAGAGCCACAGAATGTAGCCTTCAGAAGCACCATTGCACAGAGGGGGTATGACGGGGCCCTCCAGTGCTTCGTTGCTTCGGTTTCAATGACCCTCGTGTCATCGTTCCTTGAAAACCCTTTCGCTGCTACTTTCGCTGCTGGATGGTCCTGCAGTGAAGTTCTGCAAGAGTTGAGGAAGTTCCTGGAGCACCATCTGGGGTATCGAAAGTTCCTGCATGGCCATGTTCGGCATCGTCCCTTTGGACCCAAGAGGAGCTGAGCTGTCCGACTTGGGCGGAAACGCGCGTTTCCAGCGCGGCGCGGCACGTGGACTGCATCGCCTGCGGGAGTCCACCAGGTCAACCGCTTCACCCGCGCGAGCTTCGACCCGGACATCCTCAACACGCCGGCGAGCCCGGCTCGCCGCGGAACGCTGGGAAGCGATGGGTGACGGGCTGGGTAGCATGGCAGGAGCTGGCGCATGGAGCCTTCCAGCAAATGCTTTGGGTCATGGCATGGGGCCTCAACAAATTGAGGTTCATCCATTTTCCACCAGTTATGAAGGCCCAGGTCCATAAAAGTCTGTGATGCCAAACATAAACAGTCGTGCACACGAACATTGATGTATACTGGTGCCCTGCCAACCCCCCAGGAGGTCGAGGAAGGTCTTCGGAGGTTCCCCGCGACATCCACGGCGGGCGGCAACGCGCGATCCACCTCTGCGGTTCGCGCGATCCACCTGTCCAAGGGTGGGCCTTGACTTTCAAGTGAAGAAGGCGCATGATGGGTGCTTCGCGTGATGTGAGTGGTACATGTGGTACCCAGACGAATGTTTTTTTTTCCAGCTCAGAGGTGCAGATGTTTGGAAAGAGGAGGCTGAAGATATGGCGATGTATGAATGCACACCAATTGTGGGCCCTCAGTTTACTTAGTACAGTCTTTAGATTGACCCTAGCTCTTCAGGCTTCGGCCAGTTGAAAGGACTTGTTGGAACTGTGGGTGTGGGACCCCGTTATGCATAATTGCAGCAGACAGATTTGACAGGCAAAGAACATAGCAACCTGAAGTGAACGACCATGCCCCATGAGCGTCTCTTCTAGTTATATCATTGCTACAAGTATATCATTGGTCTCAGAGTAGATGGCACACTCCCCAAGATGTACTACAAGTATGTTACAAGTATGCACCATGACTTGCTCAGCTGGAGCGTAAGAACCTCACTCTTGGAGAACCGCCCGCACCGCACCGCACCCACCAGGTGCGTGCGTCTCAAGACCCTGTAAAGCTGGAGCTTTGGGACACTGTGCCTCGTCGGGTTTGGGATCCTCGCGTGGTTCCAACGGCTGGTTGTGCCGTTGGGTTTCGTTGGGTACGCAGCAGGATCGGCTCGGCTTGAACATTAACGCTGTTGTCAACGTGTGGGATACTTACAAGCCATACAGAACGTTAACAATATGTACTTTGCAGATGCTTGCTGGTCTCAATGGGCCCTTTTTGTAGCAGATTTTCTCCCAACTCCTTGTCCAACCATGATGAGGCATCGACTGGCCTCCAATGTTCCCCAAAGTGCAGAGCAAATTTCATCGAACCATGCGTAGTGCCATGACAGGCGGATGTAGCTGCATGGAATCATCAATGAATCATCTCCCCTCTTCGAACAAAGTGCTCGGAAGAGCTGAGATCTGGACGGGAAGATTGCACCTTTTTTGTTCTATTTTGTCCTCATGGCACAAAAAGATATTTGGACCAGCTTAGGAGTGCCCCAACCCATGCTCAGAACCAACTGTATTGATAATCTTTTTCGCCAACGAACGCCTTCCGGCACAAGGCTGGCGACCCGCGATTTCGATCCTTGATACCGACGCTCGGCAGGAAATTAGAAGGGAAGCATATCAGACTATACAATACGAGGTTGGCTGGAGGAGGGGCTTAGAGGATGAGAGGAAGGTGAGAATGGTGAACTGTTGCAGATTTTATGTTTTAAGAGGTTCGGCTTCTGAATTTACAAGTCAGTCTGAGCGCTTGGACCTTCCTTTTCGGCCCAATGAATCTGGTGTTGCAACACTGGAAGTTGTCCTCAAAATAGATCATTGGTTGTCTTGACCGGTGTGGGCCCATGGGCGTATTTGCGATTTCGCATTAGGGCGCAGTGGCCAGTAGAAGAAGTTCTGCATTGAATCTCAGTCGCTGTGTCAAGACACCTGATCGACTCAGGCAGTACGTCTCGGAAGCAGATGCCCTGCTGGTGGTGTATCTCGGCGGCTTTCATGTTGTGCTCCTGAAGAAAGCTGGGGCACGACGCAATGGAACGTGATTGTTCTCAGGACTATTTGATGATACGTGACGTGTTAATTCGCAAAGAGTAACGACCTTTGTTCATAGACCATTGCTGCTATGATTTTCGATGTTCTCGCACTTGTAACCTGTTCATTTGTCTTGCCGGCCTTCTTTATTGTTTGTTTTTTCTTTCCCGTTTGTATCGCTGGCCAAAGACGGTGGTGCCATGTTCCAGTGTTGTCTGGTCTCGGGGAGCTGCTCCAGGTATGACATTACAAACCTGGAGTCTTTTGCGACAGCCAGGCTGTGGGCACCATGCACTCATTGGAGGTCTATTTTTGGGTGGGTCTATGGGGAGATGTGATGAGATGTGATCAGGCCTTCTACCTTTAACATCCCTTAACAGCCTGTATTCCCTACCTGACGCCTCGGACAGGCTGGTTTTTGTAGGAAGATGGAATCCGATCAGATCCGACCTCCCCTCTGACAGCCTGGAGGCGTTGGGTCCTCGATCTGGAGGACCTGGCCCCAAGCGCCCTGCTGGCCCTCGTGGGTACGAAGGCAGGTGGATGTTGAGAAAGCCTTTTGAACACAACACAGGCAACAAAAATCCTGTTGGAACACCCTGCCAGGTGGACAGGGGCAGCGCCCGAGCCGTGTCCAAAGAAGAAGCTCAGATATTCTCAGAAGCCGGGACTCTCTGATGGATCGCCCCAGCGCCATTCACGGAGCCAGTTCCGTTGGTATTTGCATCGGTTGGTCCGGATATGTCCGGAAGGATCCTGCACAACACCGGCGAGAGAGACCCCTTGAGCTGGTTCGTGCACGTGTGCCCTGATGGTCCAAGGCGAAGAAGATGATCTTTGCCGAGACAAGCGCAAAGACAGGCGTGGATTCGTGGATGGTTGAGTGTGGGGTGAAGAACTGCCGCTGAGGATGAAAAAAACACGCGAAACTTGCAGATGAACGCATTGCTCCCACCATTGTAGGGGATGTAGGATGTTGTAGAGGACATATGAGGACATCGCATACTATATACATCGTATGGCATTCCTTGCAAGAAGCAGCTCTCCTTCCTTGATGCCAGTGCATGCGTAGCCACGGGGGCCGACGTTGCAGAAGTCACCGAGAAAAAGAGATGAGTCAAAAGCAGGTGTTTTTCGCGGCGCCCACCGACCGGACACGGCTAGGACCAGGAAGACATGTTTTGTAGAAAGGACTGGTCGGGGTGCTTCTGAAGTGCTGCTGAACTGAACTCCCCCATGTGCCAGGCCCGCAAACAGCATACTTACCACATGAAGAACCCGCGAGAAACATGGTGCACCATTTCGAGATGGCTGGCGAAGAGGTCGGTCCCGCCGCCTAGGTGAGAATGTGGATGCTCTCTTCGCAGCCTGGCCAACCGATGCAGGTGTTCCGAACACATGCATGGCACCGTGTGTGGAGGGTATCATATCCTTGGGCGAGCTGGCATCTCCTTTTCTGCTTGGGTAGCTTCATATCTGGCCCCGGAGATGTCCAATCTTCTTGTTGGGATCAAATTGGTTTCGCATGTCAATCAGCCGCAAAGCAGGCTCCTATAGGTCTTACTTGAGACAAAAAGATGGGACACAGTACTTGTGCTGTTTCACCAGTGCCTAAACGATTATGACCTGCCCTCGCACGATGCGATGCACTGCAATGTTGGTTTAAAACATGGACATACAGGGTGTGATTTCTCCAATAGACATGGCCGGCCGCACATGGCACGTGGGCTGAGGAAGAGCTATCCGAGCTTCTACCAGGCCATTTGAGACCAGCACCCAGGCACGGATCTGTTCTTTTGAGGGCGTCTTTGATGACGCAAGCGCTGCCATCCCACGCAGGTTAACCCATCCAAGTGTTTGTTGCATGAAGCTTTCTAACATCTCTTGCCCACTGGTCAAGACCCACATGCAGGCAACCATCAACGATGTGGTTCCTCAAAATTCCTTTGTTTCTTTGTTGAGCACATGCCTTGTTACATCTTTTTAGCCTATTTTTGGGTCTTGGTGTGGAGGAGCGTAGGGCCATGTGTCACTGTCCAACTCTTGTGGATGAACATGGCAACAGGCTTGCGAAATGAGTCTCCTTTTTGCTACACTTGCTATAGGTCTTAGGTTCAAAACCACCTGAGCGGCTAGGCCACCGGTGATCCTGTTGGTTTCCACGCTCCTTCCACGCTCAAGGCGCATGGAAGAGCCCAGCCAAAACTCCGAAAGGCCGGGTGTAGAGCGGCGCTGCGGGTCGGGTTGGGTCCTGCAGGTCGGGTGGTGCCAGAGTTGTGAATGATCACCCCCCCCATAACCGAGTTGAGTCACCGCGTCAGATGAGAAACCGCCTTTATCAGACAGTCACGGTACCCAGTGCAGATCACCGCGTCGTTAAACCTGTTCCTTTCATTTTTGCTGCGGAGGGCTGGGCTGCAGATGGATCTGCACATTTCAGCATATGTTCAGTTTCAAGCAAAGTACTCCGTTGCGGTCTTATTAGGCTTTATGATAAAGAAGTCCAAGAAACAGGCCAGCCTTTGAGGGTCACGACTCACGACACACTGCATTGTTTCAAGCAAAGTACTCCGTTGCGGTCTTATTAGGCTTTATGATAAAGAAGTCCAAGAAACAGGCCAGCCTTTGAGGGTCACGACTCACGACACACTGCACAATGCACCTTTCTCCCTATTTTGTTGGATTCCCAGGAGTCGCATTTAATATCATTTGATAGAGTTCAGCAACCACCTTCCAGGCTCCTTCCAATCAGCCAGGAGGCGCTGCTGCTTCTTCCACATGGCGTAACGCCCGCCCGGCTGGCCCGGCTGGCCCAGCACACCAGCTTGGCGCAAAGGTGCCAGTGGTGGGGTTGAAATGTCTTTGGCCGTGAGCCATCGTGCAGCAGGTCTCACGGCCGTTGTTGTGCGCGGACGTCGACACACAGGGCGCTTGGCGAAGCTGAATGTGACCGGAGCCTGTCTCGCCAGGTCGATGTGAGAAGATCGACTAGTTCCCAAAGAGGGCGTGAAGACTTGCAGGTCAAGGGGTCTATATAAGGGGTTCAGATCATGATGGGGATGTTTTCTCTTAAGATTATATTCTTATTCTCTATCCTTCTGATCTTTCTTTACTGGGTGGCTTGGTGGCTTCTATGATTCGATGAAGGGAGGTCTCAAGCAAGTATGGACATAGCCTTTCTGTGGCTTCGCCGTTCAGGCAGATTGAGGTGTTTGTTGCCCTGTGGTCTATATCATTCTCCCGTCCCCGCATATCGCCAAGTGTGGTGGAATTGCACCATAGTATCGATTGAACGAAATGAGCAGTTAGCCATTTGCCACATCAGTTCCAGATGTAGATGTGGGATGTGGGAGGGAGAAAACCACTTACCTCCACGCAACAAACATGGAGAAACATGGACCACCCCTGCTTGTGAATTTCCAGGCTCCACGCAACCATGATTGCTCCACGCAACTGTGACATCCTCCACTTGGTCGGCGTTTTAGTGCGAATTTGGCCTTCCTGTGCAACCAGGTTTGGAATCTATCTCATAGCCACAGGAGACCAAGTCGTTAGTAGCACCTCCATGGGCCTCCCCGTTTTGGGCACACTGAAGATCAACGTGTCCAGCACAACCTGAACGAAACTCTAGGCTCACCGGCTCACCTCTCCCAGTAGTCTTTGCCAAGCCTCCAATTGCAGTTTTTGGGCTCATGATGGAGCCCTAAATTCGTGCCGGCATGCTGCCTAGGATGTACAGGAGTGGACACATCAGTCAGGGTTGGAGAAGGTGCCGCTAGGCAGCTTGTTGTTGCCCCTTCAGTGTTCGGCACGTATAGATTCTAATTTTTTTCTGCATTGTTTTGCAGCCCTATGACCCAAAAACCTGCCGCCAGCAAACCCACTCAAAGCTATAACTGTTTACCCTTGATGGAGAGTAAACCTCCCAAAGTCTAATGACATTCCAAAGCATACCAGATTTGAGGGGAGGTCATTTGTTTTTTAAACATAGCTTTCTAAATCTACTTTCATAGGGTGATTGCGTTCTTTTTCTCAGAGTTTTTGACAACCTTTCATTTTATGAAAAGTGACTCGTGACCCTTATAGATAGAATATAATAGGAAGAGATTTTGGCGAGCCCTCACATTCCTGTGTTTGTTCATTTGTATTCATTTGTTATTTTCCTTTTCTGTTCCTATGTGTTTGTCTTTTCCTTACGTTCCTTGTCCTTTTCCTTTTGTTTGTTCTTTTCCTTCCCTTCGTTTCCTTTTTCTTTGTAGGACAGGGGGCAGGGAGAGGGCAGGAAAAGGAACAGCAAAAGGAGAATGAAAAGGACTTGAACAGCGAAAAGGGAAAGGAAATAAGAGTCCTGGAGTAGATATATAGCAACACCTGCAACCATATTCTATCTATATCTATCTATATGGGGTTTGGGAAAGCCGGTTTTGCGGAGCGTCCTTTGGACAATTCATCCATTCTGAATCTACTCCAGGATTATTTATTGTGAACAGGTTACCGTGAACGATTTTGTCGGCTCGTTGGTTTCGTGTCGGACCCCTGCGAAAGATGCGACGTGATGGTTTCAACGGGAAATGAAGAATCTGAAGGAAATCCCTCAAGGTAGTACTTCAGGGTGTCCAAGCAGATTGTTGATCTATATTATAGGAAGGGTCAGCGGCCTTTTTCATCAAGAGACATCACTAATTTCCGACCATCTTGGCTTGGCTCCAGACTGAAGTCACCAAGAGAACGTTAGGTGGAGCACCTCAGGGTGGACAACATGATGTCGTGAGGTTTGAACAAAAACACATGTTGAAAGAGAATCATCACAGCACATCACAGCTACCTCGTCACATGAGTGTTGGGCATGCATGGAAACGCTACATTGTCCGCTACATTTCACGCACCACTGTTACTTGGCTACAATTCTTGTTCGGAGGGTTCAGTCTCACTTCTCAGTGCGCTTGGCCCATCAGCGATTCCTGGCCATGTTAGCCCTCGGGATGACAGAGTCGCCATGTGGACCTCGCTGTGGCTGGGCAGAGTGAGAGGCATTCGGGTGCAGGAGTCTGCCGCCCACCCAAACCCCACACGCCAGGGGTGAAGTTGAGAACCGGGGTGCAAATCCTCGGAGCTGGGCGTTGGGTGGGATGTTGTGTGGAATGGGTTGATGCTGTTCACACCACTCTTTGTGATCGTGGAAGACTTCTTTGGCAAGTTCCAGCAGCATTGCCGAGTTGCTTACGTACTAGTAGCAACACGAACGTGTAGTTTAGTGTTTGCACCTGGTTTGAATTGAGGTCGCAGGCCATTTGGTCGCAGCGAGGGGCCCTAAGGGCCAAGCCGTAACAGTGTAGCAGTTTGGTGGGGCAACTGCTATTTAGCAGCAAGTCACTGAAAATGATCAGGATTTTAAAGCTACTTCAATATCCAGTCTCGACTCCATCTCACTCCATCAACTTCTGAGACATCAGCACCTTCTGAAAAAGCAGATTAGAAGCCCCAGACGTTTCTGCTCCATGTTTAACCACAGCGCTGTGAACATCCAGGGGTCTTCCCACCAAGCCTTCCGCTCCGCCACTGAGGCTGTGGGACTTCTTGTGGTCCCACGAGCTCATTCAGGTGGGCACAGACCATGATGTGATCACTGCTTGCCAATTTCATGGGCTCTCCACCACAAAGTGAAGGTGCCCTGGAGGCCGAAGTGCCTCAGTAGATGGCCAATTGACATTCATTCACAGTTGGGTGTATCGATGTGTATGGTGTCATGTTGTATTGCCATGGTTCCATCAACAAAGCGGTGAGGCTGCATATGCCTCAAGTGCCGTACTGGCATCCTTGCGTGGGCAGCTCAGTCACAATTTTTGGGATGCAAACCTGAGTGGTCCATAGAGACGCCTCTGAGCTGCAGACGCTGCAAACCGGCCGCAGATGTTTGAAGAGGACCTGACTGCTTGGAGGGGATATTTGAGAACTGCAAAAAAGAAGACGACCGAAGACCAGACTGAAGACTTCAGGTGGTGCAGATCAGGCCGCTGAAACGGGGACAGGGCGCCAGAAAGAGGTGGAGTGTTGAAGGCCCTGAGACCCCTAGATATTTTGACTAGAAGACCATATTGCCAGAACTGGATCATCCTTGGCCAATCCATGGCTCTTGTTCCTATCTTTTCCCTTATGACTTTGTCGCTCTGCCCCTTTGGATCGACTGTCGACCGCCGGCAGGCCGTACTGTGCTTGCCCAACCTGCGAGGGAGACCTGGCGAAGCGGGGGAAAGCCGGAACCAGGGTGGTCCCCCCAAGGAAATACAGATGATGTGAAGTGCCCCCTTCCAAAGGAGAAGATTGTATACAGCAACGCGGCGATTTACATCTAATATCATCGAATCTAATTATTAATCAGTGCTAATCATAATCTAAACCATACCAATCCTAGTTCATTCGGTTCCTTGACATACTATTGAGTCTTTTTTGTTCATTTGCAAGTGTGCTGAAATCAAAGAAACACCGCATCTACTGGCATGGCGAAAAGCAGCGCAGGGTAGCCCTGGGGAACCCCGCCCCCAGTCCACCACTTGGGCGAGCGCAGGGTAGCCTCGATCCATGTTTTTTGACGGCATGGTCCCGAAAGGAACGACGACAGGTCCATTGGGAAAGAGAGTGTTTTCTCATGTGTTCCTCGATTTCCATGTGACGTGTTTCCAAGGTTGCACCTGCTGCAACCTTCCTGCTGCACCGACCGCCTAGGTCTAGCAACATCCTCAGGCACCCTCCAGGCATGGGTGGTGACCAAGAATCATCAGCGGACAGAAAGTCAGACGGTGTCAGCTTGGGTGTGACAAAGCCTGGAGAAAGGTGGTTAAGAAAGAGGAACCCCTTTGTAGCGGATCCTGTTTTGTTTTGTATTTTACATTTCCTAATGTTTATTTTCCCTTTCACCTCAGCTCTTTGCTGTTGGTGTGTTGAGCCACGTTGGTGTGTCAAGCGGCAGGCATGGCAGCCTTGACAATGGTCAATGGTTACTAGCTGATGGTTGAACATGGTCACTGGTTTGAGGGAATATGTGTAGCTATGCTTAAGCGAGGCCCCATAGAAAGGAACCACAAACAATTAGACTGTCAAAGTCGGTATTTTCAGTGTTTCTCGGATTCTGTGTTCATCTGGCGCGCTTGCAGGGGAAACATGTAAACATAATGTGTACTCAGTGTACTCTTGAACAATGAACAATTAAACCACCAAAGTTTGGATGGTAAAGCTTCAGGGCTTTGTGAATCAAGAGTTTACATATAATTATGCTTCTTCTCGCCTTTTGGTAGCTCCTGACAAGCTCAGTGACACGCGTTCACGCTGAGTCGACACACTGGCCATTGAATGTTTGGGAGCAGCACTTCTGCAGTGTGCCGTCGGACCAAGGGTTTCTTGGCTGCCGAACTGGGTCGCAGGCTGGCAGAAGTTGAACTTGCAGGTGAGAAATCAGCTCGTGCGATGCCGTCGCCGCTTCTGACTTTTGATGCAAAGATGCGGGTGACAGAGTAATTATGGGAGACAGGAGGCAGCTTGACGGAGCATTCTGCACACCTTCCTAACCCATACAGGCCCTAGGCTAATGTTGGCGGATCAAATCCCCACGGGGCCATGGCAAAGTACTCTACGACCTCCACACTGCACCTCGGAAGAACACTAGGAGCCGCTAGGAGCGATCGGACGCTACTAGGGCCCCTGGCCTTACTACTAGGAGCAATGTTCGCTACGTTCGGGGCTCCTGGCATCGCTACGAACGGAGCAAGGACGCTGCCAGCATCTTCCGGTTGGGCTCCAAATGGCTCTAAGACCTGATCCCTCGTCCCCCACGGCAGGCAGTGCGACGTGCCCAGCTACCGCGGAGAGGCCAAGGTGGGGCGCTCCCCCGTCGCCGAGTCGAGAGTTTGGGGAACCCAGACCCCACCAACATCCATAAGGGACCCTACATGATCGGGTCAGTTTGGGGGTATCATTTGGATGGTTTTGGGGTATACTTTGGACATTTTTGGATGTTTTTTTGGGTGGTGTGATGCGCATGCCTGTGCTGTTGTCCCACTGCCACCTGTGCTGTTGTTTCGAGTTTGCCATCCTCCGTGTTAGGTGAGTCGACCGACCTGTTTGATTCTCTCGGCCCAGTTGACCTTCGCCCTCTTCCTCTTCAGACTGCTCTTTGCTGGGATGCGCCTGCCACGCTTGCGGACACAGAGGCAGTTGGAATTTTCGTGAGTGCCCGGACCTCCAAAAATGGGATCTGTAGAAATGTGTGCGGACCATTTGCATTCTGTAGATATGGGCTGTGGATGAAGATGAAGCCTAAGCTACATCCACGGCACGTCAGTTGCCCAGTGGAAGATAGTAATCAAGCATCCCAATCACCCCTCGGACAACATGAACAACCAGCAACTATTCACTAATCGAATGGAACCTTCAGGATGCATTTGATGTGTCTGAAATCTACCTGATCTAGGAAGAGAGAGCGGTCTTGCGCGGGGCGGTTGATGTTCCAGCCCTAGCGACTTGCTAAATTTGCTAAAGCCATTGATGTGCACATCATTGTTTCTTTTCAAAAGGAACATCGGCTCCAACAAACACATTTTGAGAAACACCCAACGAAGACCTTGGTGCGGTGCTTCGCGCCTGAAGGTGGAGGATCTTGAAGAAGAGGAGGCAGAAGAAGGCCCTGTTGATTCGTGTCATCAGTTACGGCTTTTATAGTACCCAACGGCACACGCGGGAAGGCTCCACAGGCTTCCGGAGATGCTTTTGAGATGTTTTTTGCCTCAGATGCTTCGTATGGGGCTCCACGAGGGTGTCTCCACCAGGCGACAGGGAAAGGCTTCTCCAGAGCCCGCCCGCCCAGCGCCGACCGACCGCCGCCCAGGTGAGCTTTGTGCCTTGGAGCTCGGGCTGAGCCGCTGAGCTGAGTTCAACTGGGGGCCGACCACTGGGATTTTCGGGGGCCTGGATGGGGCCGGAGGAGCACATGCTGGGCCATGAAACGGCTGCAATCATGGCTTGGGTTCATGAATCGGACATGCCTGGGGTGCATTCAGAATCAGGCGGCGTGCCTGGCATCAATTCGCCCCCCAGATCTTGAAAGCCTATGGGTGCTAGTCCGCTGCTACCCCATCTATGTGCTTCCGAAGAAGCTATATACCTGCACTTACTCCATCAATCAGGACCCATCCATGCAATTAGAAGTTCATAACTTCCCTCCAGGTCCCATGGATAGGAAAAACGCCGACTCCCCTCCCACTGAAAACGGAAGACGCCTCCCTTCTCCTTGGCCGAGGTGAGGAAGAGGGAGCGCTGAGGAGTTCCATGGTGCTGGCGCCAGGTGGGAGGAGCCTTTTCGGTTCGATCGTGGGGGATTCGGTGAAGAAGAGGCCCAGAGGCCAAGAAAATCAGAGATGTTCGAGATGACACCAGAGAGATCCAGGGAGGCTGAACATCACGGACTTTGCTTATATCATATCTGGGTTCCGTGATGGTTTCGGCCGCGCGCGCTTTGACTAATTTTCTCAGACAGTCAGACAGTAGTTCCTAACTACAAGAAGTGCGCGCGCTTCAGTTGGGCAAGTTCCTGCTTGAGAAGTTCATTTTCATGCCGGAGACGATCGTTTTCTTCTTCAATGTCTTGATGCACATGGACTGCTTCAAGCAATTCTTCAAGAAGTACGCGTTCGTCTTGGGTCAAAGGAACCTTGGGTGCAGATGTTGACATTGGCGTTGCCTCCTGTTCATCTGATGTAGAAGACGATGATGAATCCGAAGAAGTAGAATCAGAACCATTACCTCCATTGCCCTGGTGCTCATCAATGGACATATCTGCTGCAGGAGGAACAGGTGCAGGAAGAGCAAGCATTGGAACACTGCCTTGGGAAGTTGATGCCGAGCGAGCACGACCATCTTTCTTGGTTTGTAACCAAGACATCAACGCCGTCTGGCATTGACTCGACCAAGCAGAACCTTGTGCCAGGGTTCCCTGGTTGACTGCGTTGCGTCTGATGGTGTTGATTTGGATCTGAATTTGCTTTTTGGTGACTGCCGCCCTGTCACTATGCACAGCAATGGTTCCATTGTGAATGTTTTCCACGATGTCAGCTGCATCAGGAAAAGAAGTAGGCTCTGAAGAAGCGCTTTGAGACACATTGCCCATGAGCTCCAAAGTAATGTGCTGTCGTTCGTTCATGTAGGCTTCCACAGAGAGCTGCATGCGCGGAGACTTCGGCATGATCTATCAGTATTAAAGAGTCTGAGTACGAAGCAATGACTATGCTGAGGGGAAATGCCTACAGAATATATGCACACAAGTTGCACGTGCAACAAGCTCAGTGTCGACAACAAGAAATCTCCAAAAAGGATTTTAGTAAACCATAAAATGGTTATCCATATATAGCCATATATATATATGTGTGTGTGTCTCACAAACATATGCGTGTGACTTGCCGGCAAGACAGAAGCAAGTGAACAGCAAGCAAACACAAACCGTCCAGATGTAAAGGAAAAGGTTTTCTTTTTTCCAAAGCTTTTGTGAGCATTAGGCTAGAGCTGGTGCACGCGCTGCATGGCTTCCATTGTGGTGGTCAAGGGCACTACGTAGACATGTTTGCTACCTTTGGTGTGCATTTTTCGCCACCGATATTCATTTAAAAGGCATTTCCACCTTTGGCGGTTGCTGTGTGAAGGCAAGCGGCCACCTTCACGCTTGCGAATCCATCTTTTTACAAGTGACCAACGGTTTTCAATGTGATTCGTAGTGAATCCATTGGAATTGGTGATTTCTCCTGCGCTATGGTTCACGATTTCATGCCACAAATCTGCATTAGTCCACCCCTTTTCTTTTCTTAGATCTTTGATAGCCGCTATCGTTGCCTTCCATCCATCGGTCACAATGATGGTCTTGGGTTGCAGGTTGAGAAGGCGAAGGCAAGCAAGAATCTCAGCCTGACCTCGAGGCTTGCCATCCATAGCATCTTGTGGGTGATCCAAGACACGAAATATGAAACGTTCTGGCCTGCCGGGAACGGTAGCACCCCACACCCAAACCTGATCAGTTTCTGCGCGGCAACTTTTTGTCAGAGCACCGCTTCGCAACTTGTTCAAATGAGACTCATCAACTTCAACCACATACTTGTACTTCTTGTAGAAAGACATAGCATCTGGAGTCTTCTTCTGTGAGTGCGGCTTAAACCTTTTATTTCCAGCAGGTCGTTTGCAGGCACCAGAGGGCTTCTTCATGACAGTACTGGAGCTGGCTGAAGGTCTTTTGATGGTGGCAGAGTGCTTCTTCATGACAGTTTTCTTAATTTTCCGAACATGATTCGCTGACTTCAGGGGTGTCGAAGTGAGACTGAAAGAAGTTGCATAGTGCCAAAGGTCTGCATTCACTGCTTGATGAAAGACTTCTTCCCATTGGTTGAGCTGCTGGTGCCAGACACCTGCTTCTCTGGTAATGATCCAAGATGGGTAGTCAAAGCTCCACATGCACAGGCAATCAAAGAAATTCAAGAAATTCTTCGCCTTGATGCCTTGAAGAACAGTTCCTGATGTCAAAGACTGTGAGGTGCGGGCGCAATCATCACAAGCTCGACTGTGGGAGGTCCAATCCCAGGACTGTCGGTCTGCACGTAGCCGACAGCGTAAATGAAAGGAGCCACCACACGTTTTGCACGTGTACTCTTCAGGCAAAAGGTTTGAATGCATAGCAAATAAGATGCCTTTCAAGGACGGGTGGTCCGGGTAGGGGTCAGTCGACTGGAGAGAAGCCCACTTGATACTATGCAGAAAATCAGTTCTTGACCGAATGCAGCTCAAGGAAAACTTCTTCTGAAAGTCCGCCATGTTCTTGTAGGTCGCCATGATGGGCCACATGAAGAACTACACTCACAAGCTTCACTGACACCTGATATTTGATACAGAAATACCACATCACAAGATGAATTTATTTAGAAAGTACTGAAGACACAGTTGCAGTGGAGAAGCTATGACAATGACAAGCTGTGTTGAGCAAAGGCAAACAGTAAGCACATGCACACTGAGAATGAGAGTTTTTTTTATATGACACCAGCCACCAGGTCAAAATGGTTGAGACTGCTACACAAAGGACGCTACTCTCTCAGTAAGGTATGTCTCTAAGAGCTGATCACTACTCCATATCACCATGGCCAAAGACATCATCAAACTCGCCAAGCTCAAGCTCCTCTGCCTCTGCGTCCACATCAATGAGCCCGAAGCACGCGCGAGGCTTCTTGGTGACAGGTGATGTGATTTCTTCCTTGAGATGAATTGGAGAAGCGTCAGCCGTCCTAAGTGCAGCAGTAGAAGCCGGTGGAGATGCTGGAGCAGCCTCTAGACGCCAACGATCATGTGTTTCAGCACGGTGGATGTAGTCCTTCTCTTCAGGGGTTGCCAAGAGTTTTGCAACCAATGCTTGCTCTTCCTCAACTGCGGAGTCGTAACCACAATACTTTTCATGCACACCTTGCTTGTACATACCGTAGAACTTCTTATGAGTTTCCTGAAGCCAATCTTCTGTCACACCGCCCTCATTGAAGCAATGAATTGGTTCGGATGTGTGTTCACTTGGAAGACGAATGTAAACACCATTGTGCCCAGCAATGATTACCATGGTCCTCTTCAAGATGGCCATCAGGTGTGGGAACTTGGGATATTGACAAGCTGTGAGGAACATTTCCTTGAATTGCTCCCACGTGATGTGTGACAAGAAGGTGTCCGGCTCCTTTGACTCATCCCATTCATTGTTGAGGACAATGCGGCATTGGTTCCGTGAGAACTTAGCGGCTCTGTACCGCGCATCCACCAAGCAGTTTTCACCCACATCCAAGAACGATTTGAGGTCCTCCAGGTTGATGCTGCTCAAGTTGGGATCGTCCAAGAGAGCTGGGACGTTGACTTCGCCCGGGCGCTCTCTAAAGCCGTCAATTTGCTTGGAGCGCCGCCATCCAGGTAAACCAGACAAACTGCGAGAAGATGTGAGGTGACGAGCAACGGCCATCGCCATGATCTGAGCTGTAGGTGTCTTCCCAACTCCTGCTTTCCCGAGCACCATCAAGCCAAAGGACGGCATCAAAGGCAAGATCATGGGCACAATCTTGTTGAGAAAGGTTGGGTTCAAATCCAAGAGCAACAAAGGAAAGAAGTACTCTGGCTCAGCTTGAGAGTTGCCGGTCACTCGATTTGCGCAGGCTTTGAGCACCACGTGTTGAGGCCAGCCATGCAGCGGAGATGTAGCATCACGAATCTGAAGAAGTACCCACAGGTATTGCTCATTCTTTGAGTTGGCCAAGGGCGCATAGTCATTGATATAGTTGATGCCACTGCGAAGTTCCTCTTCTGTTGGATTCCATGCTTTCTCTGAATCGCCTGGAAGGCGCTGCTCTTTGGGAATTTGTTTTTGTCGCAAGACCTGAGTCATCCAGTGGTGGCCACTGATCTGTGAGAGCATATAGAGAAATGCCTTCTTCACTGCATCAGAGTTTTTGGCCAAGGAGTAGTCAATCACCAAGACTTGATCCTCACATAGTGTTCTCGCCAGGCCCATAGGAATGCTCACCTTGGAATGGAAAAACTTCAAGGCTGTGCAGGAACCATCAGGATGTTGGTGGAGAACGAGCTGCAAGTGACAGGAAGTTCCAAGTGCATCGCGGGGACGCACAGAGTTTGGCAAGCGTGAGATACACAAGGGATCTTCTGACATGACAGCGCGAATCACCTCCTGATCTTCTGTGGAAATGTTGGGCACTATGTGAAAGAACTCTTTGAAGCTTTTCTTGCTTTGGCGTGGAGGCTTGATTAAGGGCAAAGCTTCCACGGTGAAGTTGCCATTTGAAACCTCAGCATATTGTAGTGTGTCCAGGTAGTGGACGTAGTGGGACGTAGCCTCTGCCAGACACACATCCATGATGAGACACAGGAGACACGGGAAGCAGACGATTGAGACCTTGATACAAAATAGCTAGTTTGAGATATGAGCAGACGTGATGTTCATCCACATGACTGCATAGACAAGTGTTTGCAAACCAAAGTCTGTGTTTGCAAACTCATGCTTTAACAAGAAGGTTGTATGTTGGGGGAAGGGGGGGGGGGGGGGG